CGTGTTTCAACCATTCTTCGAACCAAACAAGAATTCAACTTCGAAATCCTATGAGAATTCGTTCTCTCACTCTCACACTTATGTTGGATATGGGCCTCAATCCATGAGTCCCCTACACTGTTCACCTGCCCGGCCCAGAGGGAAGTAGATGAAGTGGCGTGAGTCAACGGAAGACGACAAGAGACAGCAAATTCGGCATGACGGCCCAGTTATGATTCGGGCCGAGAATGATCGGCCCATGACGATCGGCCCACTAAGCCTTAACCCAAAGTCGGTGTCCTGTCACATCATCTGCCTATAAAAGGAAGGGGACTTGATGTGACAAGACATCATATACATCGAAGAGGACGAAAGTACATCAGAGACGAACCTTTTAGCCCAACCTTAAACGAACATTCCTAACATTTCCCCTTTTGTGCCGAGCACTATACAACATTTGGCGTCCACCGTGGGGCCGAGCTAGAAGTAATTCGTCTTTGGATATCGCACATCTGCAAGATACAAGAATGGAAGCCGGAAGTGGAGAATTTGTAGCCGATACCCCCGATCGTTTCCAGCCAGGACAAGGTAACCCGCTGAGCGCTCCGACCACCGAGGATGGAGAAGGGACAAGCAACCCCGGTATCGGTGCCATGATGCATAGCATCCTCGCTAAGATGGACTAACAAGAGCGGAAAACGAGCGAGCGATTCGCAGCTCTATTTGATGTATGCGCTGCCATGCAGAGCAAGGCAGGTTCACCAAACGCGACGACCGCCGAAGAAACTGCGGCCATCAACCCAACTCAAGGCAATGACGAGCTCGCTGAGCTGCGCGGAAAAATTAAGGAGGTGTCGACTCGCATGCACCGAGCAACAAGCTCGGCGCCCGATGTGGATCGTATGCTGGAAAAGTCACAAAACACGCCCTTCACTACACGCGTCCGCAATGTGGTGATCCCAAAGGACACCAAGATTAACTGTGCCCACTTCAAAGGCGACTCGGACCCAACACATCAGCTGACTTCGTTTGAATCCGCCATCCATCGATGCAACCTTACGCCAGCCTAGTCTGACGCCGGCAAATGCCAACTATTCACGAAACTATTAAGCGGATACGCACTAGGATGGTTCTCAAATCTGCCGGCCAACTCGATCGATTATTTCAAACAGCTCTCACTCGCTTTCCTAAAGCAATACTCGATCTTGGCTATTCCGGGGGCAACCACGTTCAGAGAATCGACGAGCCTCTCAGGGGGTTTATCGAAAGGTTTAAAAAAGTTGCCTTCGAGGTGAATGCACCCAACAAGGTTTCGCTATCGGCTCTTAGGAGCGCACTCTGGTTTAAGTGCCGTTTCCGGGAGGATCTCACATTGAACCAATACGATACGCTCGAAGACGCCCTACATCGGGCGACCCGCTACGTAGAGATGGAAGAGGAACAAAACATACCCTCCCAGAAGTATCTGCCGCCCAAACAGTATGCCCCAAAGAGCAAGGAGGAATACGTCGAACCCCGCCAGCACTATGACAAGTGTTATGTCGCAGACGCCCGAAAGAGGCCGCCATCCTCATACATGTCAACCGAAGCGGACCCAGAGTCGGGACCAAGTGCCCCACTCCCCCAGCCAGCTCCTACCCGCCCCCGCTAGTCGAGCAAGATCACAGCCTCTATTGCGAACTGCACGAGGTAACAGAACACTCAACGGCATCCTGTCGGCACCTTCAAAGCCTGATACTAAACAAGTACCTCAAAGGCGACGTCGAGCTGACCCTCCGACAATACAAGAGCGGCGGCCAACGCGGTCGTGGCGCCGGCCAGCGTGGTCGAGGATGCGGACGAGGAAATATCCAGAGTCGTCTTGGCCTATTAGGAGACGACCGCCCAGGCCCCGGGATTGCCAACAACGCCCGACCTCGACAAGACGGCCAGGACGCCGCCCGAGCAGGCAACCAGGAGGACGAGCAGCTCCCACCACCTCCGGCCAGACAAAGAATCTATATGATACACAGCAAGGATTATATGCGCGACGACTACCCGAACCCTCGGGCGCAAACGAGCCTAACCTTCCTCCGTCAGCAGGTGAATGTCATAATGGGCGGCCTCACCGCCTGCCGCGACTCTTTGCGATTAATTAAAGACTACGTCAAGGCTGGCGCGGCCGCAGTATGGCCTGCAAAACCAGCCTCGTACATCCCGCCCATTACGTTCACTTCTGAAGACGCGCTCGGCGTCAGTTTCCCGCATAATGACCCCCTTGTCATCGAACTTCAAATAGGCGACAGTGAAGTCGCCCGGATACTGATCGACACTGGTAGTTCAGTGAACGTCATATTCCGCGAAATGCTCGACAAAATGAAAGTAACAGACTCTGAGATTAAACCATCAGTACGCCCGCTGACCGGCTTTGACGGTAACTATTTAATGTCGGCCGGCACTATCAAGCTGCCGATCTACGTCGACGGAAGAGTATCCCTACATAAATTTATGGTCGTCGAGAAGCCCGCCGTTTACAATGTCATATTGGGAACGTCGTGGCTACACGATATGCAAGCTATCCCGTCCACTTACCACCACTTCGTCAAGATGCCAACGCCAAGAGGAATTTATGTCATTAAAGGAAACCAGGTCGACGCCAGAAACTACTTTGTGATCGAGTGCAAACTTCGTAAGGCAATCGATTTATAGCAGCAAAAGGAAGCGGTACAGCTGGCCCCGCCGATCAGTACGGAAGAGATCCCACGCTACAAGCTGATAGACAAAGTAAATATCGATAACAACGACCCGACATGGTGCGTAGGGATCGGCGCCGATCTAGACCCACATATAAGGGCTCGGCTGGTCGACTTCCTCAAGGAGAATAATGCCACCTTCGCCTGGTCGATCGACGACATGGTAGGCATCAGTCCCGAAGTTACAAGGCACAAGCTCAACGTGGACCCAACGTATAAGCCGGTCAAGCAAAAGCGACGGAAGCTCGGCCCAGAACATTCTAAGGCCGTAGACGACGAGGTCAAAAAGCTGTTGGCAGCAGTGTCGATTATGGAGGTCAAATACCTAGAGTAGCTGGCAAACCCTGTCGTCGTCAAGAAAAAAAATGAGAAGGCCCGTGTATGCATCGATTTTACAGATTTAAACAAAGCCTGTCTCAAGGATAGTTACCCAATGCCGAGCATCGAGCGGTTGGTCGAAGCAACGGCTGGCAATGCTTTGCTATCTTTTATGGACGCCACTTCCGGGTACAATCAAGTGCTGATGCATAAAGACGACCGTGAAAAAACAGCCTTCATCACCGACCAAGGCACATACTGCTACAAGGTGATGCCGTTTGGGCTTAAAAACGCGAGAGCCACATACCAACGCCTCGTCAATAAAATGTTCGCTGAGCAGGTAGGAAGGACCATGGAAGTATACATCGACGACATGCTCGTCAAGTCAAAGACGGCGCAAGACCACATCCCACACCTAAAGAAGTGTTTTGACACCCTGAACCAATACAACATGAAGTTGAACCCAGACAAATGCTCCTTCGGCGTGACAAGCGGGGAGTTTTTGGGATATATCGTAATAAAGCGTGGGATCGAGGCTAATCCCAAACAAATCAAAGCGTTAGTCGTCATGCCGTCGCCCCGCAAAAAGCGCGAGGTGTAGCGACTGACCGGCCGCATAGCCGCGTTGAACAGATTCATCTCGCGATCGACCGACAAGAGCCTACCATTCTACCAACTGCTCCGCTCTGCAGGTAAGGATTTCTGTTGGACGCCCGAATGTGAGCAAGCCTTCGCCGAGCTTAAAGCATTGCGATGGTCCCTGCGGATGCTAACGCAATGTGATTTCTGCCCAGTGCTCAAACCCGAGAAAGGCGAGAAACTCTACCTCTACGTGGCAGTCTCCAGCTCGGCCGTGAGTGGCGTACTCGTTCGGGACGACCGTGGCGAACAACGCCCTATCTTTTACGTCAGTAAGACACTCGACGGGGCCGAGTTGCGCTACCCTGAGTGATTGCCTAGTAATTATAGTTTTACCAAATCCTTAAAAAATCTGAAATCGTATTAAGTAATTCTACTAATACCAAATCCTGAAAATAAGTTAAGTTTACACAACCAAAAACACAACCATAAAACAAATAACATAACCAAGTTCACAACCATCTTCACAACCATCTCCACAACCACATTTAGTTTTTCTTCGACCTTGTCTTCGGTCTTGAACCGGGTTCTAGGGGGGCTGGTCGTTTCTCACCTTTCTTCTTCTTCGTCTTCTTTTGACCTGAGCCTCTAGATTATTGAAGGCTATTCTCGGTGTAGGAAGGGCATCTTCGTTTTCTGACCGGGCCACCACATCTTCATCGAACATCTCTTCGAAAAACACACCCTTACCTTTCGAAATGAGCTTCATCCAACTCTCAACCACAACATCATGCACCTCATCATCTTCGTGACCTTCGTCGATGATTTTTTCCAACAGTTGAGATTCTTCATCGGTAGATTCTATGATAGAGACAATATCCTGTTTAAACAAAAGAAAACACACACACATTAAAAACACCCAAGTACTAGTTAAAGTTTCGATGAATTGGACAACTAACCTTATTTTGACCGAGAATGTCATTTAGCTTCTTGAGAGGAAACCCTTTCATCGCCCCTTTCTTGAATGTCCTTCTACACATCCGGGGACACTCTATTTCCGCGTCTGGCCTAAATTCAATGAATTCATTACCGAGTGTAGGAATTGCCTCAAAAGCCAATAACTACACAACATATATAATTCATGTTAGCACAAAAGAAGTTAACAATAACAATGAAATTCGATTAGACAAACCACTAACCTCCATCGGGATACAAAATCCCGGAACCGGCCAAATTGCTCCTTCTTTCTCCACCACCCCATCAAAATGGCGCATAGTGTGCGAGATGGACTTGATCATGTGCTCAAACGAGTACCTTCCCCAAGGAAAGGTAGCACAAAACTGCAGATCGTTAACCGCTCGTAGACATAGGCTATCTATGGGCGCTGCTAACTTACCCGAGTTCTTGGTATCTCCGACAAGGATACTCACTAAAAAGTAGAGTACCATCATCTTCAACCTGTCATGAGTACGATCCGGAACCATCGTCTATAGTTTTTCCTTGACGTATTCCAATCTTACCCTCCTAAGGTTCCTGAAGTGCTTCCTCTTGAACCTTTCACTTCCCGCGTTCATGTCACCCTCCGGATAGACACGACAATCCAAACCCGACATTAAAGCATGCTCTCTCAATCCATACCGGATTGGGACACCGTTTACCACGAACCAAACTTCCTTCTTTTTCTCCATGCAAGCCGTACGAAGAAGGAGCATCCACATTCCCATAACCTTGTGGTTTGGGTCCTTTTTCAAGTGGAATATGTGCTTGAACTGCATATGGTCTTCAAACCACTCCTTCTCGCTCTTCGTCATAGGAATATCCAACCCTTTTTCTAGTACAGACAAAGTTTCATGGATATGGCACCTTGTCGATAGCTTTATCTTCTTGTTGTACTGACTCGGTGGGAAGTACATTATTAACGGCTGCATTGGTGTCTCGTCGTCGGAATCCTGCAAAAAAACAGTAATATTGTCTCACTTCTACCAGTTTTACACACACAGTTTTACCAGTTGTACCTAGTTTCACTAACACAAACAATTCTACCATTTATACCAAAACAACTGTACCCAGTTTTACCTAGTTTTACAACACAGTCAGTTTTACTTATAGTTCTACCAGTTTTACTTAACCAGTTCTACCGAGTTACACCTAATTTCACAACACTACCAATTTTACAGTTAGTTCTATCAGTTATACATGCATAGTTCTACCTACTTTTAACGAAATACCATACATCAATTGAATCAAACACCAAATCGTTTAAGACCCTTACATCGTTTTCATTCAAGTTGGTTCCCGAGTTGGAGCTTTCCTCGTCATTATCTCCATCTTTCTCTTTAGAACCTTCTTCTTGTTGTTCTTCTTCTTGTTCATCTTCTTCTTGTTCTTCTTCTTCTTGTTCATCTTCTTCTTGTTCTTCTTGTTCTTCTCCTTCTTCTCCTTTTTCTCCTTCTTCTTCTTCTACTTCTTCTCCTTTCACTACTCTCCTCACCGTCTCCTCTTAACACAACACACTCCGATTTTTCTAACTCCTTCTCGCCGCCAGTCTCCTCCTCCGCAACAACCACCGGCGCCTTTGGTAAATCGGCCAATGCTCCTTCTTCCTCGTTTGCCAATGTTCCTTCTTCCTCGTTTACTTCTGGAGATGTCGCATTCTCCCCGGCAGGTTGAGAATTCTCATCCGCCGAGACAAATTCTTCTTCCCCCCCCCCTTTCTCTAGTTCTTCCTCCCTCCTTTCTCTAGTTCTTCCTCCTCCCCTTTCTCCGGTGGACTAGGTTCTTCGCCCGCCGCTGTTGCTTGTTCCTCTGAGTCTACTTCCGCCGGCGCCGGCGCCGGCAACACCTCTTCCTCTTTCTCTTTAACTTCATCAATCTCTTTCTTCTTTGTCCTTCGTGTTTCAACCATTCTTCGAACCAAACAAGAATTCAACTTCGAAATCCTATGAGAATTCGTTCTCTCACTCTCACACTTAGACGAAATCACGAGCAAAGAAGAAGAGAAGAAGTTGAGAAGAAGTTGAGAGAAAAGAAGAGAAACGGTTCGATCTTTTAGGTTTTTCAAGTTTAAAAATTTCTTTTTTTTTTTTTAAGTTTTTCGTGTTTGGTTGTGGGTTTGGGTATGGATTCGGGTAGACCCAGGTTGAAGATAGTAATTTTCAAGTTTTGTTCGGGGTACTGTAGTAATTCTTTCAGTTTTCGAATTAAATAAAATACAAAAACAAAATAAACAATAGAAGGGGAGACCGGAGCTTCCTTTTTCCCAAATAAGGGCACACGAGACGATTTCTCGGTCACAAAATCGAGATTTCTAGGGTTCTCGATTCTTCCCCAAATCGTGTGCTCTCTCGTTCTTCATTCTCCTTAATCGATTCGTCTCGTTTCTCCTTTATCGTTTCATCTTCTTCTCTTTGCTGAGGATTGATATGGGGCGAGAGAAGAAGATGAGAGTGCTCTGCAATTTCTGTGAGTGCTCCGGCAGCAGGTAAACTCGACTCGTTTTTAGGGTTTGAATTCGTCGTATGACTTACAAACTAGCCATTACTCAGATTCTGTATGTTAGTTTCAAATCCTCTGTTTCGTTTCCTGGGTTTAGCTTTCACCCATAATCTGATTTAGAGAAATTCTACGAGATCCTCTAGCTCTAGCTCTAGGTTTAAGTTGTAGTCTGTTGGTTGGTTCATCTTTTTCCTCTGGAACATAAGCTTCGATCGAACTTGTTGTTTTTGACTTACGCAAACTCTAGCCATTACTCAGACGCTGAATCTGAGTTATAATTTCCCTGTTTCGTTCCTTGGGTTTAGCTATTACCCATTATCTGATTTTGAGAGAATCGACTAAATCCTCTAGCTCTAGGTTCTAAGTTTTAGATTGGTTCATGGAACATAAGCTTCGATCGAGCATCCAACCAATTTCTTCTGGGTTTGCAAATTCTGTACAGATTTGAACTAAGGCCACACGGACAATATGAGGGAGCATTGGTGTGTATACACACACACACACACACACACCATACCGTACTCTTTTGGAGTTTTTATCTCTCTGTATATGTATTTTCTGTTTTTGCTCACAATATTGCTTTCACGCTGCTTCTCTAGTCTTCTGTGGAGAGGGAACTTAGTAGACTACGCCTTCTGACCAGGTTTAACCCATTTCACATTTCTCATTTCTTCTTCTTCGATTCTTTCTTTGTCTTTCCATTGTGGTTCAGATTTTTTTTTTCTACAGGAAAATGACCGGTAAGGATCTTGATGGTCTGAATTTTGCTGAGCTGCTCTTACTTGAAAGCCAGTTAAAGGATGCACTTCTCATTGTGCAGAACCAAAAGGTGATGAATGAAGATAATTTACTTCTTTGCACTCTTTACCCTGAAAATCTTGCAATTCTCAAACTGCCTGTTTTTGCCATTGCAAAAGGAAGTAAAGCTGCAAGAAGATGAAAGGCTTTACAAACACCAAGTAAAGATAGTATATCATTAGTTAGGGGACCTTCTGATAAACCCCCAGGTGCGATGGATATGATCGATGGCACGTCCGTTGGTCGTTGACTGGGCTCGACAAACCGTCGGAGCCTTCGATGGAAGGTTTGGGGGTGGAGAGTACCCTTCGTACAAATGAAGGAGTACTCGGGCTGGGTGTGTGTGGATCGAATGACGACACGTGAGCTATGGGAAGGAACTCACGATACGGTTGGCTTGAAGATCAACGATTTTGGATCTTCAAGGATTTTGGATCTCTAGCCTTCACGGCTCGAGAAAACGAAGAGAGACGCGAGAAAAGGAAACATTTTCGGTAGTTTATTCAAGCGTGTCCTTTACAATCGAGAGACTTGTCCTTAAATAGACAAGTGATCGAGAAAGTGGGCTTAATCTTGCCCTAGACACGTGGGTCTTTAAGCTCCACACAAAGGAAAAGCGAGAAAGCGCGTTTTCTAACGGCTCTCTCGGTCAAAAGTGAAAAGATCGAGTAATTCTCGATAAAAAGTAAAAGCTCGAGAAAAATTTCGGTAAAAAGTGAAACGACCGAGAATTTTTCGAGATAAATAGAAACGGATCGATAAGGATCGAATGAGAAGGCTTTATTGAAGATGGATGCCTTCTTGGAGATAGGATCTTCACTTCCTCGGCTCCGGAGCTTGTCTACTAACGCTTCCAAGTCGTGAGTCGAGTGGGATCGAAGTGAAGATAAATTAGACTTGCTGCCTCGTTAAAACCCCTTCGGTAAACCCATTGGGACAAACCCGAAGTTGGGAAAAAGAGTACAGCTCACCTAACGTCTTAGGGATGCCTTCACTTGGACGTGGAGGTGAAGGCACTCGAGCTAAGCTTCCCAAAGCTTGTCTTGATCGAAGGTTCCTCGGTGGTGATGCGTTCCACGAACCTTCGGTGAGAATGGTTGAAGCTCGGCTTGTCGAAAGGTTGAACGTTGAAGAAGATCATGAGATGACCTCGCCTTGCTCCTCTTGATGATCCTTGAAGTCGTCTTGAAGTGTTGAGGCTGAATCGTTGTCGTCGGGATGATCTCTTAATTGAAGGCTTTGCCCGAACGGTTGGTAGATGCGGCCGGCCGGATGGTGTTCTCGGACGGACGGACGGCGGCCTTGGTGACTCGATGTCTGGGGATGCATCATTCCCTCCCTCTTATTGAAGTTTTGACCTCAAAACTTAGCTTAGTACGTGGATCAAAAAGGAACCACATTAGTAGCATCAAGAAGGAAGCTACAAAACAATATACCGGGATCGAATGGAAAAATTGAAGTTCTAAGTAAAAAAACTTGAACTTCCCCAGTGAAGCTGGTGGCATTGGTAGCTTCTTTAAGAGCATTGGAGGCTGGTTGAAACTCTCCAGGATGCCACACATAGGATTGGATCGCACCAAAGTTGTAAAAGATTATGGCCGAGACCCCTTTAGCGAAATCGGCCTTGGTGCGTCGGGTGGGAAAGGTGGGTACTGCCTCGGCAACTCCCAGCTGGAGCATAGACTTCACGATGGTTGGTTGAAACAGTACTGAAGCGATAGGACCATCACTTTTAAATTTTATTTTTCATGTTTAAAATTTTATATGTACAATTATATAAATGTGTTTTATTCTACCATTAATTTAAAATTTATTTACATTCTAAAATCCAGTAACACATTTAAAAGTTGAACTATATAATTACCACTAATAAAAAATTATAATAATATTTTTCTTATTTTAACATTTCATTTTTGTTTATCAATTTTCTATTAATTATAAGTAACATAAATATGCATTAAATAAATATTTTAAATTTATTTTAGTGTAAAATTATAATTGTTGCTTAGGTGGATGCTTAGGTGGCATAATGAGAAGAGAGAAAAGCTAACTTTATATATATATATACTAGTTAGTTGTTCGCGCTACGCGCGGAAGTTTTATTACGTAGTTTATGAGTAATTGATTCATATTTTATTTCGTACTTATTTTCTCAAGGACATCATATTTTTATTTTCTATCTCATGTTGTGTTTGTATAGAAAATTTATTTTATTTTAGTTTCATTAATAGTTGAAAAATTAAGCGTGTATAATATAAATCGATGTGTAGGCGTAAACGGAAGTGTTATGGAGAGTTGCAGAAAAAATGTGTTATTAAGGCTCCCACCAAATATAGATCTAGATGATGTTAATATTGTGAGTCCTTTTAATATGTTGGTCCAAAAGTTGAGAATGATTTGTGGATTCGAGCGAACTGTTGTTTTTTATTTATTTATTGATTTGGCGATTTGTTGTTTATTATCTATTTATTTTTGTTTGTTATGTTTTTGTTTGTTATTTTTATTTGTTATATTTGTTTGTTATATTTGTTATTTGTTTTTGTTATGTAACATACATATTAGTATAATCTACTTTATACTAATTTAACATATTTATTTTATTATAATTATTATTTGAAAG